ATCCTTGGAGCATCCCATCATCATCCTCATCATCTCATCTGCATCCTAGAAGAATCTTGGAGCATCCTCATCCTCCCATCTGCATCTGGAGCATCCTGGAGCATCCCATCCTCATCCTCATCCTCATCCTCATCCTCATCCTCATCCTCATCCCCATCCTCATCCTCATCCTCATCCTCATCCTCATCCTCATCCTCCCATCTGCATCCACCTCGGAGCATCCTGGAGCACCCCATCATCCTCATTCTCATCCTCATCCTCATCCCCATCCTCATCCTCATCCTCATCCTCATCCTCATCCTCATCCTCATCCTCATCCTCATCCTCCCATCCGCATCCACCTCGGAGCATCCTGGAGCACCCCATCATCATCATCCTCATCCTCCCATCCGCATCCACCTCGGAGCACCCCATCCTCCCCGGGGCATCCCACCACATCCACCTTGGCCATGCCATCCGCTCTGGAGCATCCCAAAGTCCCTCACCCCAAAGTCCTGGGAACCCCCCACCCCTCCTGCCACACCCCTGCCCGCTGTCCCCCCTCCTTTCCTGCCACCGGCTCCCAGCAGACAAAGACACCCCTAGACCTTCTCCCCCCCTGCAGCGCAAAGCGTGTCCCACCCTCCCTCCCTGCACCCCACAGGGAGAAACCGGCAGCGCCGCGGGGGAAACTGAGGCACGGTGGGGCTGGGTGAAGGTGGAGGGCCGGGACAGGGCGTGGGACGAGGACCGGCGGGCACATGCACGTCCGGCGGCTCTCGGGGCGCCGGCTAGAGGCTGAGGTCCACCACCACGTGCCGGTACACCAGCGTGTTGGCCTTGAAGCTGGGCGCCAGCAGCAGCTGCACGTCGGCCGCCGGCACGGCCCGGAAGGCGCGCGGCGCCTGCACCGACAGCTCCTGGAACTTGGCGAACTTCTGCTTCTCCTCTTCCCACAGGTAGACGTGGGTGAAGGAGAAGTCGCTGCCCAGCGCCAGGTAGCGCCGCTGCCCCACGGCGAAGGGCTGCATCACCATGGAGCCGCGCGACGGCAGCGTCTGCACCTCCACGAAGCGCTGCCCTTCCCAGCGCACCACCTTGGAGTCGCCGATGTAGCGGCTGAGGCACAGGAACTGCTCCCGCTTGGCCCTGAAGTGTTTGACCATCTGCACGTCCAGCATCTCGCCCACCTCACCCTGCGGCACGAATTGCTTCTGCGCCCGGCTCCACTGGTAGATGACGGGCGCCTGGGAGCTGCTGGAGATGATCAGCCGCGGCTTGCCGTCGTTCTCCACGTACTCCACGTCGGTGTCGCGGTGCCAGGCGTGGAGGGCTTGGTGGGAGTAAAACCCGTTCTGGTTGAGGCGGTAGAGGCTGGTGGAGCCCGCCTTGGAGCTGTCGGCGATGACGAAGTACCAGTCGCCCTCGATCTGGAAGGCCTCGATGTCGTTGGGCTTGCGGATCTTCTGGCTGTCGATGTCCTGGATCTTGATGAACTTGTCCACGGCCGTGTCCCAGCGGTAGATGTAGGAGCCACCAAAGAGCTGCGCCACCACCACGTAGAGCTGCTCCTGCGCCACGATGGGCTTGCAGTGCACCGCCGAGTGAGCTGGTGACAAAAAAACCGCGTCACGCCGGGGCCGGGCTGGTCCCGGGTCACCCCAGGCCAGGAGGGGACCCCCGGCCCGATTCCTCACCGGGGATGCGGTCGAAGTCGCGGAGTTTGCGCTCCACGTAGTCCCACTTGAGGATGGAGCAGCTGCTGGCGCTCGGCTGTGCCAGGGCCACGTACAGGTCGCTGGCGTAGGTGAAGGGCTCGGCCGACACCGCCTGGAAGGGCAGGACCTGGTGCATCACGAAATCTGGAGCAGGGAGAGGTGGCAGTGAAGGTCTGAACACCCAGGAATGAGGTGGCAGGGGACAGGTGGCAGGTGATGGTGGTGCCATACCCGTGGTGATGCACTGGAAGTCACCGAGCGCCAGGTCCCGGATGCGCTGTCCCTCGAACTGCCCGGGGCTGCTGCAGAAGACGGCGGGCACCGTGGTGTTGGTGCTCTCCAGCCACTCCACCAGCCACTTGATCTTGCAGTCACAGGCCAGCGTGTTGCCACGGAGGTCCCTGCC